AGTAAATTGCATTCCACTGAAAGTAAGGGGTTGGGGAAGGGAGAAGAGAGAGAATATGAAAGATAGGGAAAATATTGCTGTAACAATTTTTCCATTTTTGTTTTGTTTTGTTGAAACACAGCAGGAGAGCAAAGCCACAGACTTCTCTACTGTTCTTGTATGCCAGGAGGGATTATGCAAACGCTGCAACCACCCAAATCTTATTTAAATTATAGTCATTGTTCCCTTTTTAAATGGTTATACTTTTGCCTGCTTTCACTCAAATATTGCTGCATCTTGCTTTCTGCCAAAACAGTCCCATTGGGAGTCATCCACTCTTAATTGTAGATGAACAACTTGAAAAATATCTCTTGCAAAAAAAGATGCAGGATGGAAAAGCAAACTTTAAGTGCCACCTAGTGGCTAATTTATTGAAAACATTTGAAAGGGCCAAAAATAATTCTGAGACCCGAAGAGGAGGTCTGTGTAAACTCTAAAGCTTGTCTCTCTCACGAACAGAAGTTGGTCCAATAAGAGATATTTTCTTCCCCACCTTGCCATTCTGATATGCTGGATCCAACAAAGCTACATTCTGCATACAAAAATAATTCTGAGCATACCCCAGGGCAATGCATTTGTTATATCTATGTATGGGCTGTGGAGGCTGTGTTCAAATTCAGAGCCAGGTTACAGGATTCAGTATGGTATGGAATAAGCTGGAGGGCTTTGATTCAATGGTATCAATGATTTTTAAGGAATCCTTCTAAGATTTTTGGCCCCAAATGGAGATATTGAATGGCAGAACTCTCATAGCAATAACCTGTTCCTTCAGGAGTTTCACATCTTGTAAAAATGTTTATTGTTTCAAGCTGTCAGCTGCATTTCAATTCAAACTAGAAAACAGTCTCCTGGGAGTAAAATCATAGGTATGGATTTGGAGCCAAGCATCTGAATTCGAAAGCCACCCTTCCCGTGCAGATTGATTAGGGTTTGGAATTGAGGTTCAGATTTCATCCAACTCTAGTTATAACAAGGCCATTTCTTAAACAGGACACCAGATCTTTGTGTCGTAATTTTCTTTCCTTTCCCTGAGGGAAGGGTCTTCATTGACCATGAGAAATCCGATCAATCTTTACTTTTCTCTCCATGAAGGCACCAGATCCCACTTATTCATGCTGAAGAGCCTTGGTGAAGGAGCCATCCCATCTTTGCCTGCTTTGTATTCATCCCTAGGTGTCCACACCAAAGTCCCCTCTCTCCCCTCTGGGTATACACTACCTTTAAAGCAGTCTCAGTTGTTGGTTTTAAATTAAATCAAGTTCAGACTAAACTTGCTGAAGGGAGATGAGGAAAAATTTTCATCCTGCATAAACATTTTGATTTAAGTGATTTTATTGTGAATTAAGCAAGCGAGCCTCCGATTTTTTGGTACCTTTCACCTTTGCTCCTCCCCCACCCCCACCTAGCAGGCCTTGCCTACTTAACAACTTGAACTTGGGCACTGAAAGCACTTAAAATTGAAGTAATGTATTTTCCTCATAGATCAGCCATCCTATAGCAGGTATGGCAGATTGCAAACAACCTGTCAACTGCCCTAATCTGGAAAAACTACTAGCTAGGTGCAATTCACAGCTATTCAGAACAGTCTTTAGCTTCTCCTGAATTGTGGTGGCCAAACACATGGAACTACACAAACTAGTTTCATAAACGTGTACAGCTAGCTTATGTCACTACAGACCGAAAACCAGGTTTCACCTGATGTAACAGCAACACAACAAGCAAGCACCACTGTGCTGTCCAGCCTCTTGTTCTTTTTTAAAAGCTAATTTGTACTTAATTTGAATGGTTTCAAAGAAAACATGTTGATGGCAGCATTTCTATAGACTGTTGTGATGCAAAAGCCATCCCCCATTAGTTTTGTTCAATCAGGGCAGTAAACGTATACATTATTAAAATGGGATTAAATTAAATCTGTACACTAACATTCTTAAAACACTTGCTCCCACACATCCCAGATTTTTAAACTGGCTTGTAAGAACCCTTTTCCTATGGCCTAGTTCCATGTCCCTGTTCTGGTGGGAATAATATTTGCATAAATACAAACCAAATCTGGTTGGCAAGGGGAGGGAAATGAATCCAGCTGAACATTGCATGGCCAGACTGGAAAGACTCGGAACAGCTACTCCAAAAAGGCATTTTCCTTGATACTTGCAGGATTTCAATCAGAAATTCCAGTGGGAGCTAATGGCCAGTTTCACCACTAACTAACTCCTGTCTGTATATTGTGTGCGTGTGTAGTGTTGGAGGCTCAGCTGGATGGCAAGTTACAATATGGCTCCATAGCAAGTCAGAAAGAGGAAACATGAAGATTACGACAAAAGGGCAGAACCTCTGCTTCAGTGTTTCTTAAATCTATGGGCCTCACTGTGCAGTTGTGGGAGAGGGGATATGATAGTGCCAGCAAACTGTTCTCCCACATGGGAAGAGATTTACTTCAAAAGTAGTGACTATTTTTATTAACTTTTCCCCTTCCATGAAGGGAGCCTGTAGGCCTTAATCTACAGTTAGTGGGCTTTCTACAGTAAATGTTAAGCCTAACTGCAAAATAATGAATGGTAAACAGTTTACTCCATGGTTCTTTGGATTACAGAAGTTAGGTGCTTATAAAAAGTAACCAGCTTCTTCACAAGAGAATAAAGATTTGCCATTCAAAACTATATTGAACCAGATACACAGCTCCAAAGCCATAGGGACGGGGAGAGAGGGGACTCTCAGTAAGTGACTTTAGTTGAAGAGTTCTCCTCAGCACTGTGGTTCGATTCACACAGGGAGTTCAGTTTGTCATGAACTAAAAGGTAGTGTAGTTTCCCTGTGAGGTGGGTGGACTTTTTCCCAGATCGTTATTGGCATGAGTCCTGCAGCTTCACTTCAGCTACATACTGACTTTTCTGAATAGGTAGTGAAAAATGGACTATGGAATGAAACATTCAAAGTTTTTCTGATCCTCTGCCAAGGATTCGCAATGGTCCACATATGTAGAGAGTTGTTTTACAGTACATGCGTAACTAACCACTTCTATAAAATATCATAGTTATTGCATACACCCTTTCTTGTGAGATTACACTCTAAAGCATGCATCGTACAGTATGCATCCGATGAAGTGAGCTGTAGCTCACGAAAGCTCATGCTCAAATAAATTGGTTAGTCTCTAAGGTGCCACAAGTACTCCTTTTCTTTTTGCGAATACAGACTAACACGGCTGTTACTCTGAAACCACTCTAAAGCTGTCTTTCTACTGAGAGTGGGCTCACTAAACTCCTCCCTGCCCTTTAACATTTGCAATATATTAGGTATTCCTTCATGAACAGGAAATGCTGTATGTAGTGCGATCACTTATCTAAAAGTATAATAGCAATCATTTATATGTGTAAGTTCTATCCTAAAACAGAACTTAACTTCACAATCTTTGACAAGTGCAGCTGCTTTGGCAGGTCACAAAGGGCAAGATAACTGAGCTGTCTTGGACCTGACTTTCTAACTGTTGTAAAGAGTAGGACTAGCACTTAAAGATGGATTCAAAAGTTGGTCACTGAGACATGCCCTCATCAAACTGTCTCAGACAGGAAATGGGCTGTTTCATGGTGAGCCAACTTCTGTAAGGCCTTCATGATCAAATACCTTAAGCATGTTTCAGAAAGAAAAAGCAGTCACTACAGCTAGATGTACATGAGCGGAAAAGTTCTCTATCCTAGCCAACCAAAGAAATCTGGTCACTTGGTATTTAGGTTCCAAATTCTAACAGACACTAGGACAACTACAAGATGCAAGAGATGAGTGGCATTAAAATACTGAGAAACTGGCATGGATAACAATGCCAATATGATATTGAGTAAGAGTCGGGATCTTCAGCATTATATGATTTAGGCCTAGAAGAGGGGAAAGGACTAAAAGCACTCAGGCCATAAAGCTTGAGACAGGAAGTCTGCATTAGTGCTTACTTGGATATATCTTAAGTTGCTTGGGGGGGTGTGGAAAAAGCCATGGCCCTGAGGGATGTAAGTTACACTGACGTAAGCATAGGTATGACCTGCACTATGTCAGCAGGAGATGCTCCCCCGCTGACATAGCTACCATTGCTCGGGGATGTGGAGTAATTCGGAAGAGCGCTCTGCTGTCTGCAATCGACAGTGTGTGCATTAGCAGCGCTACAGCGGCACTGCTGTAATAATTCTAGTGTAGACCTGCCCTGTGGAGTGTGCATACACTCATCATAATCCTGTAGGCCTATATATCCCTTACCTTTGTCAGCAATGGGAAGTTGTAAAGTACAGACATCCTTAAATGAAAGTTTCCACAGATCTGCAACATTCAAACTTTTTTCTTATTATTGATGTGCCATATAATACAGGCGACTGTAGGAAAATTAATCAATTCTTCCTGGATAAGGGGGTGGTGGGTTTTTTTTTGTTTTTTTTTTTTTAAATAAAGACTTCCCCACAACTCTTCTAGCCATTTTACAGAAAAGACTACTTCACATTCCTTCCTCCTTACCCCTTTTATAGTGCATGTTCCTTCACCTGTATGTTGCTAGATCAGTTAAGTTATAGATTTCCTGCACTTTAAGAAATCAGGTTTGGGATATACTCAAACATTCTGCTAATTGGTGTAATGACTTACCTAAAAGACTACTCTGGATGAACCATTCCAGTAATTATTCAGAGTCCCCTTTCTGTGAAGTATTTATTCACACATCACCCTGTATGAACTATTTTTGCTGACATGACATGTCTGTTCTTTGCATGTACCAAAGCCACCTATAGGTGAAGGATTGTATTTACAGGTCATCTTTACAACATTTGAGGATCATATTTCTCCAACATAACTATCTTTTGAACATTATACTGAAGTCTCTCAGGCTTATTTACATGAAAGACTTGTGTTGAGACATTGAAAAGACGCTTAATTGTAGTTTGAGGTGGTCACATTTTTACCAGAAAGACAGAATGACATGACCGCAGAAGTACTGATTCATTGACAAGTTTTGTATTAAGCAATCTTTACACCATGCAGTATCAGGGCATAAGCTAAATTGTTAGTTTCCAGAAAATGAGTTATGTTTTTCTTAATCTGCTGCAAGATAGCTTCACACACTTATCTGAAGATGTCAGAAAATCTAGCTGGCACAAAGGAGGTGTAATTAGTACCGTTAAACTTCCATATCAATAGAAACACTGGTTCAGAATCCTAGGAGTTAACAAAAAATACTTTGTCAAATCTCTTGTGCAGATTTCTCTGTACTGCAAGCCAGCATGCTGCTCAACGTCACTTGCTATCAGTTTGGAAGTGGACAAGAAGGCAGAGATTTGTAGACGCTTGTACAATGCTTGAGTTATGAGTCCCTTACTTTCACAGATCCTAAAATCCCAACTCCCCTTTTGAAACTATTCTTTAAAGACTGTTTACAAAAAGAACCTTTTAATCAATAAAATCCAAATACAGTAAGAATTTATAACATCTAACATCTCTCTTCATTTCTGGCCAGTGGAACCGAAGCCACCTGTACCACGTTCAGTGTCATCCAGAACCTGAAAAGAGATTAATAAGGTTAGCTTTTTAAAGACTTATGCTTGTGTATATATACTCATTTGTTTCTTGCATGTTCTTCATCTTCCCCACAGAAAAATCAGTACATTTTCTTTTATGGAGAAGATCTTTACTGCACAAGCATAAATAAGCTTCAAGTTTTTAAACTAAAATTAAGTTCAGGAGTCAACAGAACACATGTTAAAATATATTTTTACAATATCTTACATGTTCAAAATATATGTCAGTCTGCCATGTTTTCAGTAGTTTAAAACTGTAAATTGCTCATTTCCAGGAAAACTGCATCCATCTTTTCTTCATTTTTTCTTTAAATTCAGAGTGGGATTATCACCCCATTCCTTCTCTTGCATTGACATGGGCAAATTGCATGGGTTGTCATAAATTATAGAACTCTAAGCAGACATGCCTACAAATTGAAATTATTCCAGATTTCAAGTAAACACCAAAGTTTGTTTGTAATTCTTATATTTAAGAATCACTGATTTTTCAACTCTTCACATCCCCTGCGTCCCCAACAGGCTTGTAAGGACTTACAATTAAGTGTTAAACTGTAGACATTTTCCTTTTTAATTCAAACAGTAATAATTTACATGTTCTTACAGGCAGCAACAGAAGTAAATAACTTTTTGAAAAGCCCAATTGTTCTCTGAATTTTGACAGATTAAATACAGCTCTTCCTGTACACTCAGACGAATGCAAGTGTTTCATTCCAGTAACTTACTTGAACTTCCTCCAGCTCAGGATAGAAGATGCGTTCACAGATCAGCTGGGCAATTCTGTCCCCTTTTTTAACTTAAGAGAAGTTAATATGTTATTTTTTAAAAAAGTAACAAGCCCAATACAACTTCAATCTTAATATTTAAGACTCCATAAAACATTATGGCATTAGCAGTAAATTTTGAAATTTAAATTATGTAGGCATCTGTAGCAATTTGAGTTCAGGTTATACCTAGAAATTTGCACTTAAGCAAGACTAAAACTCACTCAACTTCCCATTAATTGCTAAATTTAGTTTAATAACTTCAGACAAGTTTTCCAGAAAAATATTTATTAACTTTTTGCACACGATGATTTAAGTGCTCCCTTTTTGAAATGCAACCCTGGTTTCCTCCCTTTTCTTTGAATATCTCTAGCTAGATAACAACAGTCCCCAGACTCAAAATATATTCTGATGAGCACAGGGGAAGTAGAATAGTAAAGCATTGGAGGGGTGGGCATCTTTTATGTTTGTGGGGAGGGAGAGGAGAAGGTAGCATAGCTGATGGTAAGCCATCCCTTTCCCCACACACTAATTCCCATAGACTCCAGGGGAGGTCTTCATCATTCCCAACTATTGGCTCAGTTGGATCCATCAGATTGGGACTCCTCTTCTGGTGAACCACAGGGAAATTTTCCAGATGAAAAAATTGCCACTGGGCAGAGCTGGTCGCTCAGTCCTGGAGCTACAAGTCTTTCCATGCCACCTGTTATACTGGGAACATAAGACTTCATGGTTGCCTGTTGCAAGGCAAGGATGAGGACTTACTTGATTTTCCACGTGTTTACTGGTTGAAGAGGGAGGCATATGTTCTTAAACTTGGGTGAAGTATTCCTTAGGGAATACGCAAATAACAAGTTTAGGTTGCTGACTGCAATCTCAAATACAGATTTTTCTCCAATCTAATGCTTACCTTCAAAATCTTCCTTGCCGAAATTAAAAAGTACAACACCAACATTTCCTCTGTAATCTTCATCAATGACCCCAGCTGTAATAAAGGGAGTAATTAAAAACTGTATCTACAATTGCTGGAGAGATGTTAATATCAAGGAAGAAAGATATTCATGAAATAGTAAGTTAGATTTGTAGATACATTTCAGCACATTAAGTGTATCCATCCATCCCCTTAAGAGATTGGAATTTAAAATACTGGAATATCCAAATGCAAGTCTAATTTGCAATGATTATGAACTAAAAAGACCCCATTGCATTTTTTTAGAACGTTATTTCTAAAATTTAACATGCATATTTCAACAAGCATTTAATACCACTGTTAAGTGATATGATGGTTTCTTTTGTCTATCCCATACAAAAGATTGAACAAATTTAGCTGAGAAAGGGACTACATCAAAGTGGTTGTCTAGAACAATAGATTTCTTCTGGATTTAAAATGGACACTGTTGATGAGAAACATAGCCTGGCTGCCATATATGAAGTTAAAAATATAATTGGCTATCTTATATTCTTAGCCTTACTGAAGTTCTTCTTTAAATAGAGCTTCAGCTAATGCGGAGCATTTTCTGAATGGAAGCAATGTGGTAGGAGGGCTGAGAGAGAACATACAGTGCACACAAATAAGCTTTTAAATACTTACTAAAAATCATTAAGGCCCAGATATTTAAAGGTATTTAGGTGTTGCTGCACTCAACGTAGTAGTACATAACTGATTTAAGAGCCTAAATCCCACCAACTGCCAATGGGATTTACGCTCCTAAATTAGTTAGGCACTGCCACACTGAGCCAGAGACTACTACATTTTTAAGACATTTATTGTCAAAGTGTTTCTATTCAGCTAGAGGTACATTTTTTTTCTGTCCCAGCATGTGAACTAGATATTGCTACTTATTACAAAGACTGAGAATGAAGCTTGCTAATTTAACATAATCAGAGCTAGTTTTACTTCCAAAAGTAATACACAAAATACTCTCTAGTGGTTCGACTTTGCGTACTGATGGATTACTACAGTCCTAGTATTTTTAAAAGCTCAGTCATCCTCTAAAGTTTTAAGTACAATGGACTTTTAGACAGCCTGCTTAGATATCTAAGTACAAAAATCTAAATTTAGTACCGCTCTTTGGTTAAAGTTTGTGTCGGAGATCCGTAGAAGAGAAGAATTCTGGCAATTTCAGATATTCTAATTAAAGCATTAACTCCCACACACTTAAATAAATTCCCTTCCCATGTAATGCCAGAGCCATGCTTGCAATGCTGGTTTAGGTCACTCTAGAGCAGACTACTTGCTGCTAGTTTACCTTCTTAATCTGTCAGCAGACAATTCATACAGCTCTGCATACATGATCCTCATTCCTATTCTAGTAATAAAAAGTGGTACTCTTCTGTATTGTGCATACTGGAGACTAATTAACTCTGTGGTGAAGTTCATGTTATTTTAAGAGTCTAGTTATATAGACAAAACCACTGAGGTTTTTTTTTTTTTTAAAAGTCTTAATTGTGAATCTGTTTGTTCTAAAATAAATACCACCAGCCTTTAACAGAAATTGGGTCAAAGTGGAAAAAAAAGTGAAAATAAGATTAACTGGCTATTTAGGAATCTACAATAAACTAAAAATAAAATTATATTTAGTGACATTCACCTTTTGCTTTACAAAGAGAAGTTGAGAGGGTCATCAATATGTCTTAGTGCTCATAAACATAAACTAATTAAACTCAGGAATAATGAGTAGGGAGGAAATCAGTGCCACTGCATTAAATAAGATGGCTGGGACCATCAGCTAGACCTCTTTCCCCATAGCCTCCTAACAGGGATGGTGGAACAAAGCCACAATAGTTAAGGGGCAGGTCCCCAGCTAATGTAAACTGACATAGCCCCATTGAGTTAAGATGCCCCTTTAACTGTTTCTAAAGTGAAATGCCAGAGTCGTCATTTTACTTTTTACAGTTACTTTACTGCAGGTTAAGTTTTAAATTTAGAGTTATTATAAATTCTTGTTGTTTTATTTAGTGCCAGACTCCATTTTTTGTTGAGGGGAGCAGTGGAGTTATGCTGATTTACGCTAGTTGAGGAGGATCTGGCTTGAAGTCTTTCCTTTACCTTTTACTGGCTGGGCCTTTGGAAGTAGGAAAGCTTCATAATGCTGCTTCAGTAACCCAGTCTCAGACTAGTACTGTAGCTTAGTCACTACAGCAAACACTTTCAGCATGTCATAAAGTTGCCATCCAAATATTTTCCTTAAAGAACAGGCTCCTGCTTTTTGTGATCACCCCCTCAAATGTTGCCATGGAGATTTGGCATTGATGCGCCATCTCCATTTCACCACTTCCCTGAAACAAACAGCACACGTAACAGACAAAATAGCGTCTAAGTGCTGTTTCTTGCTGAGTTAACATTTAACAAACACAACACCTGGCTCCCTAGTACCCAAATTTAAAAACAGGTATCTTGTTCTCAGACATCTTAGGGCCAAGTTCTATACTCCAATGTGCATGTGCAACTCCAGCTGAAGTCCATGGGAGTTAAATGCATATATTTTAAGGACTAGATCCCGCCTTGAAGAGATGTTCCAAAAACACCAAATTCAGTCAGCAAGCTTGCTAAATACCTCACCTTCTGTGTAGGTAAACTAGTAGAAACCCTTCCTGAAGATGACTAGACTTGCCTTTCATAAAAGGTGTTATGCACCATTTGACTCAGTCATAATTCACCCCATTTACTGATTCATTAAGCCTTAACAGCAAGACCCAGATTATAATATCCACCTATACAGCCAGAATTCCCGGGTTACACAGAAGTGCTGCCTATCAGCATCATTTGCTCCCCTCTCTCAGACAACTAGAAACTTCTCCGCAGGATTGTTAGATAGATTGTTAGATTGAAGCATTGAATCAGCCACTCTCCATGGCACAGTTTGTGTATTCTTATGTGATTTCTACACAGAAGTAGACTGCTTGCAACAGAATTAACTGCCATTAGGTCCCTTCAAGCAGCACCAGGGGATTCAGCCAGTGTCAGTATATGGAATCATGCTGACAGAGGAAACGGGTAGGAGATCCACCCTCTCTGGGGACACCATCACACCAATCCCCCGGGTCGTGTGAGTTTGGAGGTTTTACTCCCTGAACAGTCAGAGCTCTCTTCAAACTCCTACTAGAGGGGGATTTCCTGATCTTTTTTTTTTTAAATAAATAGATCAGTTAACTTCGCTATTCAGTCCCTCTCTTGCCTTCTGCAGGTGGGGAAGAGAAAAATATCCTCCCCATGAGTTAAAAGCTACATCTGATAAAAGCCAAGTTAAGAGAGGGAGTTCAGCACAGAAATCTGTCAAAACCAGCCCTAGTAGTAAAAGAATAAGCAACTGAAATTATCATTACACTAGATAGAACTAGTTTAATGATTTAACAGCACCTCTTAGGGTGCAATTATGAACTAGACAGAGGTTATAATGATTCTGTAGCCTGATAGAATCTCTTTTTTAATAGCCTGAGTTAAAAGTTCTCCTTTTCAGGATGGAATAGAGAAAGATGACTTCTGCCCTGAAAACATACATGCTATAGGCTGGATCTGCCCTGGGAACCTAAAGCTAAGATGTGATAAACAAAATGATTTTGGAATATGCTGCAGCCACTGCCACTAACCTAGTGCTGTGCAGAATGAAGTGGCAGAAATGCTGCCAAAGCCATGCTAATTTCAAGCTCCATTAGAAACACAGTAGGGTAGGAGTTTGCCAAATAGAAAAAGGGTTGGTAAGGAAAGAATTTAAAGAGTATTCCAATAGATAGGTTTGTTTTTTTAAAAAGTGCACCAGAGACTGACCTCCATTTGGTGTTCAAACTACATTGTCTGTATCACAAAATGTAAAGGTACTTGGGGCAGGAGCCTAAAACATCCTCTGTCTCTATAGGAAGAGACACTCAATTTAAGTAATTACTATGGATTAACAGGAGGTAGCAGGGCAGAAGCTTGGTCTGCTTAAGGTTAACGTAACAGACCTTTTGGGATTCTATTATTCAAAAACATCTAGCTAAAACAGTTATACACTCTCTTGAACACTAGGAGACTTTTCTGCATGATCTACTTTGGGTGGAAAGCATCTAAGTCATTACTGGAAAAATCATGCATTGGAACTGGCAGAGTGCAATACTGACTTCATGCAAAAGCCCTTACTCTGTCGAGATTCTGGCATGTCACTTGTTGGAAAACCATCCACGCCTACCAGATGTGGATTCTGAACAGAATCCTGCATGCTCAGTTTTTTCCCCAGCCCCTTATTTACAGCCTGGGACCTCTGACAATACATTTGTATTGAAATAAAACATTTCTCTGCTATGTCAAGTGTGCTTATACAAGACACTGAGTTCCAAAGAAAACATCAATGTCTGATTTTTCATAAGAGGCACCCTACCAACTGTAATGATTATTTTCATTTATGATATCACTTTTTTCAAAATGCTGAACACAAAAGTTAAACATAAAAGATTACACGGTTAAGCACTCAATTCAGAAAATACCAAAGTTACTCTACCCCCGCTCTTACCCTGTGTATATGCACTGATAGTTTGATTACATGATCACAATTATTTTCAGAACCTTAGATGCAAATATATATTATTCTACAATACACTACTACAGGAAAATATTTGGGTCACATCTTGTCCGTGTTTCTTTTGTTCCATCAGACAGGCATAAAGAGAAGAGAGTTGTCCTGAGGTCCATAGAGGATTCCCCAGAAGGAAAATTCCCTATGACAGTAGGCTGGCATAGTGAATATATCAGGGGTAGAGCCAGACCTTAATATGTTCCAGTGATCCTCAGCTGGTTTACAGGGCCCGTAAGCTGTTCTAAGTTATACTGGGAGTGGTTTCAGCTTTGGCTCCAGTATCAGGGGAGGGAAACAAATGGCTTAGATCCATCTTTCCCCACCTCCATGGGTCCTGTGCTGGCTGCAGCTCAGCTGCACCAAGGATCTGGATCTTCATATATAATGACTTGTATTGAGTGTGATGAAGAGCATGGTTGATGGGAAGGTGGTACAGCTGAAGCTTCCCTATAACCTACTTATTTTCCCTATATCCTACTTATCCTACCTACTGCTATAAGGGAGCTTGTCTGCCAGGTATCTGTAATTACAACTGAGATATATTCAGAGGAAAGTATCACATATCCTCACTATTATTCAAAGCCACTCTGATTTCACTATATCTATACAAAGGTTGAATAATGAGTGGAGTCTAAAATTTAAGTTACCGTTCTTTTTCCAAACCATTTTTTCTAGAACAAAGTATAAAGTTAACCTTATCTTTCAAATTTGCCTCTGGGATTCCTTATCTCATTATTTCCCACCTAGTTTTGATTAATAAGATGTAAAACCATAGTATGTCAAAGCTAAGTCTTCATCTTAATTAGCCATTTTCTGACTGTGAAGAACTAGATATGGAAATAAAAATAAAATTTTCCTTTGCTTATACTGTTGATACTCAAATAATGATTTCTTATATCCATTTAAACTTATATGCCAACAACCTTTAAATATTAAACTTTTTGTAAGGGTGAAAATGGGCAAGGAAAAAGATGAATAGTCAAATGGAGGAAACTGGCTGTAAAAATGAGTTACTCTTGAGTTACTATAACATTTTGGTTGTTATAATTATTACTAAATAGCAGCTAAATAACATGTTTAAGACTATTTCCAAGGCATAGTAAGAGGACATAGCAGTAAAAGGATGACTAACAGAAGCAAGAACATTCACAATTAAGTCTGAAATTCTGGGATGATGTTTATAGCTTTGTGTTAAAGTTCAGGGCAGAAAAATAAATAGGTAGGAAAGAATGAAACAATTGTTTTTGTCGCCTTGGATTAAAACTAATAAGGAATTCAAATCTAACAGAAAAACAAGTCGGTAGTTAGCGGAGAGTGCAAAGCAGCAAATTTGAATCTTACTGAACAAGACAGAAAAATACAAGAACAAGGAAAAAAAATCATCCCTAGTACTTACAGTTTACAGTAAACCCCAGAACCACAAGAGATTATGAAAAGGTCTAAATTCAACCCTAATGTAAATGAGTTCATGCCAGAGCTGAATTTGGTCCCAATGCTTTATCTAAACTTCAGGAGATACAGACGAACATATGTTGTACTTAGTTCGATTATCATCATCATTTGGTTGATGAATGTTTGTTAGACAAGCATTTGGCCCATTAAGCACTGGCTACATCAAGCATTACTTCAGAGAGAATATCATTTGGTTACTATTTTCTGTATTTGAAAAAAAATTAATATGCAGATTAGAAAAGAATTACGGCTTTACTAGAGCCCAAAAATGTGACCTAAACTTTCTTCTTACCAGTCCAAATCAATCTGAAAGAACGGTAAGAAAATGAAAACCATAAGCAAGATTCAGTCCAAAATAGTTTGGGAACTTAGATCCTGGGATGAGTATATGATTGAAAATCTTAAATCACAGTTTCCATTTATTTTACTGAAGTCCTTAAAAGTAATGAAGCTGTAGTTGTCACTTTATAGTTTTAGTATCTAAATTTCACTTTGAGACATAGAATAAAGATTTACAGAGACTGTGAAAAGAACATAAACATCTTACCACCAACATCTATGAAGTGTTTTGCAGCTAATCCAGAACGTGGGGCTAGAAAATGAAAAGAAGTTTAAGAAACCTTCTGAAAATGAATTTTAGCATGAAGTCTATGTATGATAAGTTGCTCAAAATCAGTAAGTCCCACCACCAAAAACACTGACCTAGCTCCTTCCAAAACCTACATGTAATCCTACAAAATGTACAGCAAGTGTCATTACATGACCGCAGTAGGTGACAATATCAACAGTTGCAGACTATAATAAGATTGCAGACTAAGTGAATTGGGTGTATGATTAGAGTAGCTGAAAATGCATTGTTTTACCTTGAAACACCACTAAAAAAGGTTGTTCAGACTATGGCCATTTATATGACGCTTTGGCCCTTCTTCACATTATCGTTGTAACACCTGTTCCATAGTAATCATCACAAAGAAGTCAGGTATAGTGGAATACACTCTAGTTACACAAAACAATAATACACCTAACTCACTTAAAACCGCAATTCTGGCATAGCCTGCAACCCATTAACAGATTTTAAATGACTAATTGCTAGTTGCTAATGCAAGGTAATTGTTGCTAAGGCTTTACTTCAAGCTGCTTTACTTTGGGGATTAAATGTTACCTTACCAGCTTTACCTATTTCCAAAAATTTTAAATTGGCTGAAGATGAGAGAAATGTACAATCTCCCTTTTTGGAGGATTTAGTAGTAAACAGTGTTGGAAACACTGTCATTTTCTTAATTTTGGATTCATTGCTGATCCTCTTTCATTTCATTGAGTATTTGAACACACTACATTTAGAACCTAGGACAGGCTTCCCCCTTTACCACTTGTAAATCTAAGTGCACATAATAATTATAAAGAATGAGTAGTAGTAGCACAAGCCTAAGGAAGTACCTCAATTCTTACCTGGAGGAACCACCACTAAAGAACATACTTGAGACTACAGCCATTTTATCCTTGACCTTTCTTGAGATTACCAAGAAGAGGACACTAGTGCCAATTGTAGAAGTTGTTTTTGTGATAAGACAATCATTACTGAAGTACTTATAACCCTCATCAATGTAGTATCAAAGCACCTCAAGTATTTAAAAACAGATACATCTTTTTCCTCCCAGCCTGTGAAAGAAATGGCTTGATTAGTTTATATGAGTTTTCTATGTCTAGAACTTGGTGGGGAATCCAAATCAGGGAGCTTTGCATTTAGTTCTGAAAGTGACCATGTTTCAATAGGAACTTGACTAAAATACCAATTAAGTTTTCATAAGCTGGCCAACAGCAATCTGAGTTATTTCCACTAGGGCAGGGGTCTCAAACTCAATTTACCTTGGGGCCAGTGCCAGTCCTCAAATCCTCCTATCGGGCCAATAATGTCACTGAAGATGGTGTTCAGAAAAGAAAATATTTATACTGTATTTTTTATTTTGAATTTCTTAGAAATAATAAGTGTCATACAACTTTATACAGTTTGTCGCCTGCCAGAGTCTTTAGTGTTTGCCGGACACCTGGCAACGTTTCAGTTCTGTCAGTTTATTGATGTTTGGCCTCAGTGACTGAGCAGTTGAAACCTTCAGGATTGCAGCCAGGTGTGCATCAGATAGTTCTGTTTGGTATTTTGACTTGTTTATATTCATTGTGGGGGGAAAAAACGATGCTGCCTCCATGGCTGACTCTGCCCAGCAACTAATGATGCTGCCTCCATGGCTGACTCTGCCCAGCAACTAATGATGCTATCTTTGTCCCTCTCCCCCAGCCAATGGGAGCTGCAGGGGTGGCACCGGCAGCATGTCTGCATGCATCTCTCCTCCACAGCCTGCAGTGGGGAGGTTCTCAGGCTGCAGATGGCTCGCGGGCCAGGACTTTGAGACCCCTGCACTAGGGTGTGCTAATTAAGTTGTACTGTACTTTGATAAGTTTCCCCCCCCCAATGTTCTTAAGAGAACGTAAAATATTATTTTAACCAGATCAGCTGCTTTGACCTACAGCTACTACACATCACTATACACTTAAAAAAATCCAAAAAATTTCATAAATGTAGGTTCTATAATACTTCAAACAAGTTATGCACATTTTTATTAGCAAAGTGTTTCACATAGTTTATTATGAGTCATCCATCAAATCTTCAAATATTTTCACCAAAAGATGTGGTAATAGCGTGTTACCTAGAGTACCAGGTTCAAGATAATTTAAATTTCATCACAATGAATAGGCTGAAATTAAAAAGGAGTCCAGTAAGGTGCAGTCTATAAAGAGGAATTACACCACTGAACCACATTCACTTCTCCAAAGATTTTACTTTAATGGGTACAACCCTCCTGTGCAGCCACTCAAACTGGCTTAAGAGCATCCTTGCAAAGGAATGGCAACCATTTAACTAAATCAATATAGAAACAGACTGGGTTAAATGGTGCCATTTTTGCATGTTGACCAAGCTTCAAGGCAAGCCACTGGGGCAAATGAACCTGTTTCAATGACGCTTTTCTACAGTCTAACTTACCTACTCTGCCATAACATCCAGAAGGGAGGGAGATCTGAATGTCAGTTTTCACTATAGCCTTTTCCATAGCAGGAATCACATAGTTATAGGCACTAAATAAAGCAAGCAAATATATGTCAACACTTACTTAATGTTTTGGGTACTTTCTTGTTGGTAACAGAATGATTAAATACACGAACCTATAATTACACATAGTAAAGACAGGGCTTGAGGGGTAAGAACTATCCCAGTGTCTGTGTAAGAGCCACCTACAAATCTACAAAATTCTATGCAGATATTCAGACTTGGTGGGGCCTAATAAATTGTTTGTGCTGATCCAATTGCATGACTGTAATTACTGTTATCAGCCTTTTGCTAGAGACCTCATCTGCTGGTACAGGCTAGAACCTGTAGGTCTTGAGAAAGAATTGATGTTCAAGGCCTTGGAGGAGGAAAGGGAAGGCTCTATATGCATTAGGAAGTCCTTTCCAAATGCAGTAAGCAATGTGGAAAAAGGTACAAAAGCTAGTATGCTGGAGACAAAGGAATGGCGAGGTGAGCAAAGGGATAGGGCACAAGGAAGCCCCTAGGAAGCCAATGAAAGGATTCAAAATGCAGTGTGACCTGGCCAAAGAGGCAGATGCCAGCTGCTGCACGCTGCGTGCACTGGAGGAGAGTGGAAAGGGGAAATGAGAGGGGGCAAAGTGGAGGGGGATGCAGAAGTGATTAGAGTAAGGCCACTCTAAAGTGCAAAACCCTGCAGAGACAATTATTGTGGTGTGAGGGGCTCGTTTCCCTGTCGCTGCAGCTAGCGGGGTCTACACAGAGAGCAGCGCGGGGTTCGCTCACCCGGCTGCTGTCGCGCGCCACGCTCCGAGGCCAACGAGCCCCACAACGGAGAGGGCCGCAGACCCCAGCGCCGCTGAGCAGGGGCTCTGCGGGCCAGCCACAGGGGAAGCGGGAGACGATGGCGGGCTCCGCAGGGCGCATGGTAGCCACTCACCCTCTACCCAGGAGAAGCTGCTCCGCTCGCCGGGCGCGCCCTCGGGGCTGCTGAGCCCTAGCTTGGGGGGCTGAGAGGGCTGATCTCCCCCCGGCTGCACTGGCCGAGAGCGGCGGGCTCTCGGGCAGTGCACGGAGCGGGCCGCCCCTCACCTGTATAGGTCGTAGCCAGCTGCGCGGGCCGAGCCCCGGGACGGGGTGGACGCGTTCTCGGAGAGCTTGGCGAAGCGGAGCCGCAGATCAGGCTCCGAGGCCTTGAGCCTCTTGCTGGGGGACACGGCGGGGTCTGCTCCGGAGCACGGCATGGGGAGAGCGGGCGAGAGAGAGAGAGAGCAGGGGACAGAGCTGAGCGAAGGGGCGGAGCTGGCGTTTCCCGCCCGCACCATCCGAACCGTTACCACGCCCCGGCCCGGCCCATGAGGCGGAGTCGGGCCCTCCCCCCCGCAGGACAGAATGGGCTCTCCCGACCCCACCTCCTGAGCCCCCGAGCCCCGCCCCTACCCAGGAGGCGAGCACTCTGGGGCCGAGCTGGCCGCCGGCTGTCGGTATTGCTGCTGGGCTCCCGGTCAGGTACCCCGTCACTTCGCTCCTGGGCTCTGGCCAGGCCGGAAGCCCCTCAGGGACATCCCGCCAGTCGCGCGTCCCGCAGCACCGGAGCTCTGCTATCCTCCCGCCCCCCTACAACCTCGGAGCGGTGCAACTTGCCATCTCCTCCCCCCGCACCCCAAAACAAACAAACCCACCACCACCAGGCCCTGCAGCACCGGAGCCCTGCCATCTTCCCACCACCCTGCAGCCCCGAAGCTGTGCAACCTACCAGCCCCTCCGTCCCTGCAGTATGGGAGTCCTGCCATTCCCCCCCGCCGCCCTGCCATTCCCCCCCGCCGTGCAAAACCTCTACCCCGCCCCTCAGAGCCTGCAGCACTGGAACCCTGCAACTCCCCGGGCCTGGCAGCATCGGAGCCCTGCAACCCCCGCTGCAACTCGCTTCCCCACCCCGTGCCGCACTGCCGCTCCCCGGATTGTGCTGCGGCGCCAGGGCCACGTTGCACAGGGTTACTATCGCCGCAGCCCCTCGCTCCTCTCCCCTTACTGTGTCTGCGGAGGAGCTGCCCGAGGAGGCGCTTGGCCAGCATGGCGCCTGCTGCAGCTCGCGGGAGGGGGGAACTAGCTGCTCAACAGCAGCGAAGGCCGGGCTGTAGGCCTCGCTTGGCGCACGCAGCCGCCCCTGGTAATCCCCAGCCAGTGCAGTGAATGCAGGCGCTGCCTGCAAAGGGACCCTGTGTCCATCGAGGGCCAGACCCGCGCCGCGCCTTCCGCACTGCCCGCTTTATACCTGTCCCTCAGGCATCACCTCGGCTGTGGTCTCCGCTCATGAGCTGGAGGGAGGTGGGAGCCGCCCAGGAAAACTCAGGGTGCTGCAGGTAGCGGGGCCGGCTTCTTCGGTAAGCAGCTCCCGGCCCTGCACAGGACATCTGTGAGGTACAGGGTCTCAGTTGAGATGTAGAACTAATGTCAGGGATCAGCAAAGATCCCGTGGTACTTTCCACGGGGATCAAAACAGTATCTCTAGTGTCTGGGCTGAAACTCACCGAGAATAATTCATTGTATGGGCTTCTGGTACTTCACTGTGTGGTAGGCAGGTGTCTCCATTTCAGAGACGGGGAGCTGAGATAGAGACATTAAGTGAGGAGATATCTATGGTACTGTCAGGAATTACACCGTTCTGGCATGAAACCTAGTGCAGCACCTTAACCACAAGATCATCTCCTCAATTCATTATACGGTAGTAAACCAGAATCTGGCTAGAAGTCCTTCCTGATAACGCTGTCACTTCTAGTTTACATAATTCTGGGAACATTTGAAAGGTAAAACAAAACACTCTGTCAGATGAAGGCAAAAAACCCTCACACCCATAAGAACCTCCAAATCCAGTCTGCAAGGAAAAATATGATTAGTGAAAAACTCCTTGATTTTCATGAGGAGGATCATATACTTCCACTACCCCTTTAACCTAGTCATTTAGTTTCTGCTTAAATATAATATTGTTTGATTCCACCACCACATTTGGATGTTCATTGCACTTTTTTCACCATGCTCTGTAAAATAATACCTCCTTATATTCATACATAATATTCCCCTAGATCAAATTTACTCAGACAAAACTGCACACCCGCTTTTACACATTCATTCTGTTGTGCACAGAGTCAGAGCTTTGATCTAAAAATGGAGTCTTCTAACAAAGTTTCCATTTATGGATTTGATTAAAGATATTTCAGTAAAGATCAAAGGATATAAATGGGACTGAGTGTTGCATTTTTTAAAATGCAGCCATGGGTGGCAGAACCATTGCTATTCGCTTTAACCCAGTCATGGAAAATAGATTTCTGTATATTGCTTGATTTGAGGTTTGTTTGTTACTGGTATTAGATACTTTCTGTTTCACAATTGGTGCACTGTTTTTGCATGAGGAGGAGTGGTGGATATTATAGCCCACTACACAGAAAATGTTAAAATACACTACTTTAGATTTATATTAATTTTTTTATAAAGGTATGTTTACTGGGAAAAAAGCAAATTAAATCTATATAAAGATAAGCAGTCTGGGGTTTTCTGTAGCTGACCCCAATTGATTGCTTTCATAGACAGACTTGTATAATACCTTCTAATTAACACAGCAATGGACTATTTTATAAATAATCTGTCCCCCATTTTGAATTCTTTTTCACCAAGGAGTCACCAAAAAGAGATAAAAAGATAGCAGGATTCCGAGTAACAGCCGTGTTAGTCTGTATTCGCAAAAAGAAAAGGAGTACTTGTGGCACCTTACAGACTAACCAATTTATTTGAGCATAAGCTTTATCTCACGAAAGCTTATGCTCAAATAAATTGGTTAGTCTGTAAGGTGCCACAAGTACTCCTTTTCTTTTTGCGAAGATAGCAGGAAAAACTTCCTAACTGTACGAACAGTAGGACAATGGAACAGACTGCCTAGGAAGGGTGTGGAGGTTTTCAAAAGAAGGCTGGCATCTGTCTTGAATGATTTAGACACAACAAATCCTGCATCTCGGCAGGGAGTTAGACAAGATGACCTTGCAGTCCTTTCAAATCCTATGATTCATGTGAAATCTTAAAATCATGTGAAAGTGAAAAGAATGTAAGAAAAGAGGTAAATACAGAAAGTAGAGCGAATGAATGTTTTAGTTGTGTGCATACTCTTTCCAGCTCATGGACTCTCAAATTATCAAATAAATAGAAAGAAACTAAACTAAATCTTTGTCTAATTAGGCATTTTCTAGAATGGGAATATATCAGTCCTCCCTTTCATACCATGAGGGAAAAGAGGAAATGGTACTCCTGGGGGAATTCTGTGCCACTGCACACGTGCAGAATTCATGTCCCCCACTGATTTTTTTTTTCTCTGTAGAAAATACATTCTGGCAGAGAGGTACTGCAGTTATGCCGTTTGCCCACCATGGGCCGCTGTGGTGCAAGAACAGAAGGCAGCCAGTCCTGGAGAAGCTGTGTTCCTCACTACCTGCCTCCGGGGTCAGGTGAGGAGGCATGGGATATGGGGGCAGGGCGGGCCGAAGGGGCTGCTCATGGGTCACATAGATGGGTTCATAAGGGCTAGTCAGGGGGACAGAGTGTGGTAGGGGCTGAATGGGAGTGCAGGGACACAGGAACAAGAGGAGGGGTGACTGAGTGGGGGTGAAGGGACATGGGGATGGGAGGGGGTGGCTGAGTGGGAGTGCAGGGATACATGGGGATGAGGGAGGAGGGGTGGCTGAATGAGGATACACTCCCACTCACACCCACCAATCCTCCAGGTTCACTCCCAAGTTCCTTCCCAGCAATTACTTCCCTCTCCCTCAGCTCCTCCATTAGCCCTGACTCCCCCAAGCTTTTGCAGTGCTTCTGCGGGTTGCAGGAAATACGTTTCTGTGTTGTAGTTTAAATGAATTATTACTCAGAGTTCTGTATTAATATGCCAAGTATGGAACCTATTTGTCAAAAAACATTTCCTGAATCTTTTTTTGTTGTCTGTATTGCTACAGACATACCTGCTGACAGGTATTTTGAAATAAATTACCAAAATAATTGAAACTGGTATGATTATATTGTATTATTTTGACAAATAAAATGTGCAGAATTTTGCAAATTTTTAAAATATTGTGCTCAGAATTTTTACTTTTTGGTGCATAATTCCCCAATGAGTAAAATGCTTGCATGCTTGCATGTGATCTTTTCAATTGTCATTTGTAATTAGTTAAAGTTACTATAGAGACAAGATGGATGAGGTAATAGCTTTCATTGGACCAACTTCTGTTCATGAGAGAGGCATGCTTTTGAGTACACAGATCTCTTCTCCCTGCCCCTTGTGTGTTCTGTAATCTGGGGGACCTGGCGCCTCCTGGGGTATCTGAGCCTCTCTCCATGTGGGATCTGGGGGAGGGCTGAAGGTAATGCAAATTTAAACATCTGCAGTCCAGAAAATGAATAGTTAAAGTACAAACACTCCAGGGAGTGAGGGGGCAGGACTGGCCAGAATGTCGGGGAGGAAGGGGCTTGGTTTAAAAGGGGTGAACTGGGAGAGACTGGGGCATGGGTGAGGAAGCCTGGCTGAAGCAGGGGCAGGAGTTGCAGCTGTGGGTGAGTAGTGGGAGTGAGGGGTCCAGCTCAGGGTGCCACTCAGGCTACATAATCAAGGTAATGTGTGTGTAGCCCTCCAGCAAGCTGCTTGCTGTGATGTGTACACAGCAGCAGAAGGTAGGAAACAGCAAGGAGCAACATTTTAGATGTTAATGGCTACTACAGTGCCCACTAATGGCTTAATGGGAAGGGGAAGGCGAGTTGAAAATGTTGGCCGGGGGGGGTGCTACATTTGCAGGGAATGGTGGGGTAGCGGGTAAAGAAGGAGAGAGATATATCAGCCTTCTCACATGCTTAATGTTACTATAACCAATATGTTATGAAGCTGAGACATAGACCATGGATGAAATTTCTCTCTCCGGTCCTATTAGCAGATGCACATTGCAAACATTTCAAAGTATGACCATTATCCCCAGTCCACTATAACAAAATGTACAGTAGCAGGGAGGAACACTTAGGAATCACATAGTAACCATGTGGCCAAGGGCAAAGACCACTGGCCTGGAACTATTCCTAGCTCTGCCACTGGGCTGTTGAGTGACCTTGGGCAACGTGCTATGCCTCTGTTTCCCATCTGTAACGTTCTTTGAGATCTACTGATGAAAAGCACTATATGAAAGGTAGGCCTTTTGATTATTACCTAACCACAGTAGCATATCAGCTGCAAACTCAGGCGAAAATTACAAATGCATAAATGAGCGCTAACTCCTACCAACAAACATTTCCCTTTCTGTTAAAAAAACAAGGAAATTAAATGGCAATACCTTCATTAATGCAGAGTTAAGGTTGCCCAGCAGTAGCTTGTGCCCTTTCAGAATGTCAAGTTCAGAAAATTCAGATTTTAGAAAATGAGGAACTACAGAGCTAAAGCGTATGTCCATGTAACCTTAACTCTACCCTCTTTGAGTGATGCCTCAGTATGCCTATACTTGTGCGCTGCTTTAAAGTGGGAAGTGATTGTTAAATTTCACCAGTGTGGTATTCTGTCAGTAGAGTAGGCTAAGTGTTTGAGTGTAGGGCAGTGCAGATAGCACTTTTTCTTTACAGTGAAAAGACACAGTGCAAGGATGTATGAAAAGGGGTTTGGGGTAATTTGTTTAATTATACCTTTTAGTAATTTGTAGTTTAAATATTAATTATACATATATTCTCTAATGGAAATAAAATAGCCTATTTTAATGATAATATAGTAGTGTAATATTCCAGAATATACTACAGAAAAAACATTGCACACAGATAGTTAAGTGGACTTCAATTATTTATTTCAAGTTAAAATGTTTAACAGATGTTCATTAGAAAGCCCAGCAATTAAAGGAATAATCTATTTTGACCAGGAAAATTAAGACATTCAACTAAAGAGTAAATGTTATGTTTATTTTACTATAAGTTGTTTTGCAATTTACCAAATCAGTGTAAAATGTGATTGTACATTTGGGAAAACCACAATGTTCATAACAAATCTTAACAGAATGTTATTTTAGTATTTCATTAGCTTCACTTTGAAATCTATTTCATAACCATATGTGATTATTGCAATTATACATTTAATTAGTTCCATACAATAGTTTGAAAATTCATGATCAGCTATTATCATTTAGAAAGTAATTTTCCATAAATCTAACTTTTCTGTTTGTCAGCTAGTTGGTTTGAAACTGTTTGCAAATAATGCCTTATGAGTAACTGGCAAATATATCTGGTAGGTGTCTAAGATAGATGCATACATTCAAAGAGACAGCATATGTGTTTGGACATAGTACATTTTTATATAGTCAGTAATTTGAGAAATATAATTGGGAAACACAACTTAAACAGGCTATTTTAAGGTATATATCTGTATTACATTAAATTATCGTTTTTAGTCAAATGCAGTGAAACTTGAGAGATATTTTCAATATGGGTCGATTTTATTGTCATTCTCCTTCATGTATAGCTATCAGCAGTGATGTCAGCACAGTTCTGAAAGTAGTGTTTGTTTAAATAATTTCTGCCCCTTCTGTTAATTGGCTCTTCAGTAGCAAAGCCCAAAGTATTTTAGATTCTATATAAATTGTAGCTTTTTAAATTTTGGGTGGCACATAGTTGTTTTTTTAAAACAGGATATTTATGATTTGGAGGACATTCTTCATCAGTAGGTAAAATTCTAGGTCTAAACTACACAATAGTGTCTCTTTAGTATGGCTTTGTCTTTAAAAATACCTGTGTTGAAATCAAACATACTGTATTCTAGGTATTTATATTTTACTAGGAGTAAAAAGTTAGTACATTTTTGTGGTTGCCCCTGACCAGTAAGATTGGAGGCAGGTTCTTTGAGAGAATTTCTAACCAAGCCATATACAGGTGATCAGACACTACTCCTTTTTTTGCCACTGGCAAGCTCCTGTTGAAGTAAAAAGAGGAATAACATTAATGTTATAAATATAGGGTAAACCTGATCATATGCTTTTCAATACATACTATCTTGAGTAGAAAACTATAACCAATCTATTTAAAACAATCACACAACCTAAGCATGAACATTCAAAAAGTTAATCTTATAATATATGGGGTTTCTCTTAGGCCCTGATCCTGCATCACTTACATATGTATTTAGATTTATTAATGTGAGTAATCCCAATGAAATCAATGGGGCTGCTCATGATAGTAAAGTTAAGCATATAAAGTTAAGTGTTTGCAGAATTGGGGTCATAGAAATCACAAATTAGTTATATGTCTAGCTTGATGAGAATCAGAGGAGAGAAAATATAAAGCTGATAAGTCATACATTCCATCTGCTTTGTATCAATCAAGATCTGCTCTAAATTATTTTAGGACAGGTTATTCCTAAGAGATCTGGGTTGTACAGTATAGAGTAATTTTCCATATATACTGCAAATGCAGTTTCTGCCTCCAGAGACTGAGAGGCTTATCAAAACACAACAGTAACTGAAGTTTATTCAAGCACTTAAAGTGTGGTTCTGCTCTAAAAAATGGTTCTCTTAAAAATAGTTTCATCGTTCCATGTGTATCGGTTATTCTATTTGTCAAGTTCACAAGTAAGCATTTTTTCTAATTGCCATTCCTGCACAGTCATCAACCTGGACCCTAAAAGCACATATTTCTGATTCTTAGATCCTCACCTAAAGACTCTTCAATCCAAATTATACCCTGAGTAAAACCTGTGCAATTCCTATTCTGGGGGAATTCTGCACCACTGCTCATGCTCAGAATTTATGTCCCCTGCAGATTTCTTTGCTTCCCTGCAGACAAGTGACCTTCTGACGGTGAAGAAAGGGGAAGCCACAAGAGCGACAGAGAGGTAAATCACTGTGGTGCAGGGAGTGGGACTGGGGAAGACCTGGCTCCCTACCCTGCACTGGGCTCAGCTGCTAGTCCTGGCTGGGCAGGGGAGGATGGGACTTCCTCTTCCCCTGCACAGCATCCACCCAGACGAGCCACCCGCACCCAGATCCCCACCCTACTGAGGCCCCAATCAGCCGCACCTGGATCCCCACCCCACTGAGACCCACTCCCCCAGCATCTGGACCCCTCCCCTGTGCCCTCCACACCTAGACCCCCCTGCCAAGTTCTATCCCCCTCTCACATCCAGACCACCCCCTTGAGCCCCAACCACCTTCACCTGGACCTCCTTGCATAGTCCCATTACCATTGCACCCAGAAGCTCCCAAGAGGCCCCATGTACACCCAGATGCCCCAGTGAGCCGCCCGCACCCATATTGCCCCACACAGAATCCTCTCAACCCACACCTGGATCCCTCCACACTTGGATCATGCCTTGCTGAGCCTGCCTGCCCACACCTTGTGCACCTGGCACGGAGGAGGGGTGTTTCTGGGGCAGGCCCAGTCCTTGCTCTGTGTCAGGGTTGGGTGCAGCCTCACCACAGAATCTGTGTCTGGGGTGGGGGCAGCTGCACAGTGATCTCCCACCTCTGTGCAGCCAGTGGCCTGCGCTCCCCAGTGCCGTACTGGAGCCTACATATTTATTTGGCAAATAAATTTTGCAGAATTTTACAGAATTTTAAAATATTGTGTGCAGAATTTTTAATTTTTTGGTGCAGAATGCCCTCAGGAGTAAATTCTATTGTCCTCACTGGGCTTTCCCTGAGAAAAACAGATTGGTCCTGCAATCTGAACCTAACTAACAATTCTGGTTATGATACATAAACCAAAAGAAGAATTCTCTCTCTTTCTCTTTCTGATATCAGTTGACTTTGCAATGTTAACAATAGTAAGAAGAACTATTTTTGCCATGATAGTAAGCAGATACAACTCTGAATATGCAGAGAGTAAATTTGTTGGGCAGGAAGGTGCCATTTTCCTATAATTCTTTTTCAGAGTAAAACCTAATTTTAAGATACAAAGAACTGTTAACTAAGACAGGTTTCAGAGTAACAGCCGTGTTAGTCTGTCTTTGCAAAAAGAAAAGGAGTACTTGTGGCACCTTAGAGACTAACCAGTTTATTTGAGCATGAGCTTTCGTGAGTGAGCTGTAGCTCACGAAAGCTCATGCTCAAATAAATTGGTTAGTCTCTAAGGTGCCACAAGTACTCCTTTTCTTTTTGTTAACTAAGAGTGAGCTTCAGCTTCGTCTGGAGAACCAGCATGAGGCTTGTGCGCTGCTTAAGTCCCACAAAAGGCCTCAAAAGGGACTTAAATGATACATAGCCCTTGTGCTGGACCTCTGGACAGAAGTGAATTTCGCTCTGAGTGAATTAACATACATCTTTCTGTTGTTCATATCCAAAAAAATACCTGTATGCAGGTTAACTTATTTATTTTCTGAGTTAAAATTGTGCAACTTACAGGACAATGAGATTAGCAGCCCTAGAGTATGCCTGTAAGAGTTCATTCAAACGGACCTGACGGTAACTCTGGTGGGAAAAATTAGATTCCATTAGACAATACAGTTTCCTGGATGTGGAAATTACTCTGTGTGGTTGAGACAGAATGTACCCCTGTATTCACACCCTACACACTATTGTAATAATCTTTGTACAAAGTATGCCTTGTAAGGTATCTTTCAAAAACTCATCATTTGCTGATCAGTATCATCCTGATAAAATACGTGTGGCAACATTGCATGTGAAATTATAAGATTCCACTGTATGCTATTATTAACACATGTTTCAAACTGAAGTTGGCAAACAGGTCTATCTTAAACAAAGGAATGTGTGCTCTCCTTAATTTGCATTCAAGCAGTAAACAGAGTCATCAAGCAGGAAGGGAAACAGGAAGTTCAATCAGGTGAGGAAAAAGCAGGGAACATCCTTCCACATAGAGTTTTTGTCTGCTATTACCCAGCTGGAAATGTTTTTCAAGAAGGGGACTGAAACGATAAAAAGGAGGGACAAATGCCCCAAGGAATACCTCTCTCACTCCCTGCCCTTAACATTCACTGCACCTGAAGCAACAGAGGAAGCCTTTGTTGGACGCTGGGAGAAGGGATCCTGGCCTAAGACATTTGGCAGTACAACTGCTGAAAGCATGTGGTGAGAAAATTTTGCTTTGAATTTAACATAGTTTGTTAAGTTAGGCACCAGTAGTGTTTTATCTTTATTTTTCTTGTAACCATTTCTGACTTTTATGCCTCATTACTTGTGTTCACTTAAAATGTATTTCTTTGTAGGTAATAAACTTGTTTTGTTGTTTTATCTAATCCATCGTGTTTAAATTGAAGTGTCTGGGGAACTCCATTGGGGTGGCAAGTTGTGTGCATATTATTTCTATTAAAGAAATAACAGATTTAATATAACTTGTATTCTCCAGGAAGCGGCTGGGCAATACAGAACATACATTTCTGGGGGGAAATCTAAGACTGAGGGTGTGTTGGAGTCACCCTGCAGTATAACCAAGGCTGGTGAGAGCCAGAGTGTAACCCAAGTGTGGATGACAGGCTGCAGTTGCATACAGACCCTAAGGGTGTGGCTTGCATGCTGGCAGGCTGTTTGTGAGCAGCCCAGCTGGGAACTCCTTCAGCAAGGCATCCAGGGTAGCAGGGCAGGGGTAACACAGGTGCTCATTAGTCTGCATTGTACCCTTGTACGTCACAGTGGTGATATACCAGAGCTTGAGAAGCCATGGGGTTTTTTTGGTCAAATATTTGACTATGGATTATGGCTGTCATATATTTCTTTGACTGTGGATTATGGTAGTAGATTACTTATTATGGCTGTTTGGGGAAACTGCTGTCTGCAGTTGGCAGTTTAATATGTTACTGCATTTAATTTGTCAGGTGCCAAGGTGCCATCTCAATGGGTATAAAAATAAGAACATATAAGAACGGCCATACTGGGTCAGACCAAAGGTCCATCTAGCCCAGTATCCTGTCTTCTGACAGTAGTCAACGCCAAGCGCCCCAGAGGGAATGAACAGAACAGATCCATTCCTTGTCGCCTGTTCCCAGCTTCTTGCAAACAGAGGCTAGGGACACCATCACTGCCCATCCTGGCAAACAGACATTGATGGACCTATTCTCAATGAACTTATCTAGTTCTTTTTTGAATGCTGTTATAGTCTTGGCCTTCACAACATCCTCTGACAAGGCGTTCCACAGGTTGACTGTGCATTGTGTGAAAAATTATTATGTAAATAAATAAGCCAGCTTGCAACCTATCAGAGGTTATTCATTTTACTAAAATTTTCTAGAGGACTGATTGTAATATACATAGAGTAAAGATATTATAGTTGTTTCATGTATTTTATGTACTATAACCACTTGCATTCATGAATGCTATATTGAGGTTCAACCAGGATTATTACCAAAGTCAGACTGAGTTTCCAGAGGCTTCCAAAACACAACACACATAATAGAGAAGAAAAGAACAGGGAAGACTAATGTCAATTGGTGCCTAACCCCTAATAGGTTTTAAGTTGGGACATCCATACAGGTGTGAATTTCACCTTCAAGGAGTTTGGCATATCCTCCTCATCCTAATCCACCTGTCCAATACTCTAGAGAAAGGAAAAATAAGTAAACTATGGTTCATATCAATCTGCTCTTAAGGAATATTCCATCTCAATTTGAAATCTTGCCCTCAGTTTAATCATGTGTGTAATGAGTAAGAATCACCATAATTTAGGTAAGCATTCAATCCCATGTATGATACCTTAAAGTACCACTGGTATCCGAATAACTACTACTATTTTCCTCTCTAATTTTAAGCCTGGTTCTAATTTTGGTCAGAGAATTCCAATTTTTGATTAACCTCTGAGGATGAAGGGAGAAAAAACGTCCATGCAGTAAACTTAAACTTTGTTGTTGCTGTTCTTATTTCTGTGAGTGGCCCTGCGGTTTCATGTTGCTTATTGGTTCAAATAGGTTTTTATTCAATCATTTGGGTCTTATGTTAATAACAAAGAGCCCAAGCCACAAAGTCTGGATTTGGATAATAACATTTCCCAAGTTTAGGGGTGTTTAGATCTGAAGTTCCAGTTTAGGTCCTTCTCTAAATACATTTTCCTCTCCTCTAAATGTATAGGCCTCCTCTCTTCAGCCTGCCCTCATAGCTAAAACCCTCCATTCTTTTGCTTCATGTAGCAGTCCTGCTCTTGGCCTTCCCTGAATGACTGTATAGCTGCCGAGGTAAACATTTAAAGCCACACTGAGTACTCTAGATAGGCTCTCTCCAGATCTTTGTACAAAGGAAAAATAACTTTTCTTATGATATTTACAATACAAACCCAATTCTTAAAAAAATCAAATGCTGACACATAGTTAACTTGTATATCAAAGTCTTAGCTGATATTTCAGATTTGTTCACTAGTTTCTTTAGCTAGCTAGCCAGCAATATATAATAAAGGTAGACAAAGATTTACTTTCTCCTTGAATGCTTCCAGCTCTGCATCTGTAATTTTCCATGGAGTCTCTCTTTTTAATTTCTCGGCAGTTGTTAAATCTTTGCAGCTTTCATGGAGGCGGTGTGGTTCAATCATCTCTTCAAAGAATTTCCAGCTGAAACAAGAATTATGAAAGAGGCCTCCCAGCAGGGTACTAACTCATTATTTCACAGATGATTTAGGTAAGGCAGGTCCCCCACTGACTGCAGAATGCAGCTGAATGACATGCAACATCTTTAAACATTTGGGGCCTAATTGTGCCCTCGAATACATCTATGCAACCCCACTAAAATGAGTTTATATGGGTATAACTAAGAGCTACATTTGGCCCACTATCTCTACAATGAATTTACAGCAAGCATTGGTGTCCTTGTAACATAGCCTATTTAAGATGCTGAAATGTTTTCACTGTAAGCCCAAACTGGAAAGTATTAGTTACTAAGGCTGCATGTATGCTAGAAGCACTATAGCAACACAGCTGCTCCAATGCAGCTGCACTGCCGTAGCGCTTCTGGAGAAGATGCTCTAAGCTGATGGGAGAGAGCTCTGTCTTCAGCTTAATTATGCCACCTTCCCCGAGAGCCCATAGCTATGTCAACAGGAGAAGCTCTCCTGCCAACATAGCCCTGTCTACACCAGCACTTAGGTCGGTATAACTTACATTGCTCAGGGGTGTGGATTATTCACAGCCCTGAGTGATGTAAATTATACCAAAGTAAGTTCTAGAGTAGACAAGGTCTACGTTTAATAAAGAATGCAGGACTTTACACCACCACTGAACACGCATAATCATTTAACAGAGTTTTGTAGTGTTAGAAGTCACCTGAATGATCAGTATACAGCTTTAATGAAATTAATAGCTTGTCTGTGTACGTTTACCCTAATGACAGGTGGAAAGAAGTTTTATGGCTAAGGCTCTGGAGTGGGACTGAGGGATCTGGATTCAACTTCCAACTTTGCTATAGATTTCCTGTGTGACTTTGAACATACCTCAATTTTCTCTGTGCCTCAGTTCCCATATGTAAAATAGGGTTAATAATACCTCCCATTTTGCAGGGGAGTTGGAAAAATAAATTCATAAACAACTGTGAGGTATTTTGATACAACTGTATTGGCAGGCCGATCTATATAGATAATTTTATCATTTTCAGCAGCAATTTCAGAGCCTAATCCTGCCTGTAATCCATGTGCACATCTCTTAATAAAATCAAGAGGATATGCACACAGGTTCAGGGAGAAATATGGCACTGTTGCAGGTGTCCAGTCATGTTATACATTTATTATATGTTATAAATAATGCTGAGCTTTCAAATGCATTTGCTCATGTGAATGCCAAATGTATTTCTGTTTGATTCCTTTGCAAATGTACTTTGGAAGATCGTTATTCAGTTAACATGGGAAAAAGGAAAAGAATAATGCTTTTCACCATTCTGGGTATAGTTAAAAAGAAAATACTGACTGTAGAATCAGAAAGGGGATGAAATCCCCTAAATCGCTTTGCTGATTTTTCAGAAATACAGCTATTAAATAGTAAATACTTCACATATTCATAAGAGTATAATACTCAGCATTCCTATAGTGTCTCCCATCCAGTGATTGTATAAGCACTAATGAAACAAGATAAGTATTGTTATCACCATTTTACACATAGAGAAATGGAGGCACAGTGAGATTAAGTGATTTGCCCATGGTTATACCAGAAGTCCAAGATGATGGGTGTGTGGAAGAAAAAGAAAGAAGTATGGTATCAGAGGAGCATGGAGGTTAGGCTGGAGAGCAGAAGGAGGTACGAGTAAACTGTTAAATTTCACAGAGAACCTTGAAGAACAAGGGAGATATTTTGTACTGGATTCTGATGGGGCAGCGGGTATATCCTTCTCTGAGTTGGTGAGGAGATATTCTATTTAGGAGAGACTTACTTTGGGAGATTTGGGACTTATCTTTACTTTGAAGGAGGACTTACAGGGTCTACTCACTTTGGGGAAGGTTCAACAGAAATCCAGAGGTGGTGGTTTGTTTTGGAAGAGTGGAGGCAAGTTTACCTGCTGAATGGGGATTAGCTACAACAGTTCTGAAATACAGAATTTCTAGTACCCTGCAGGCAACAGAGGGGTGATCATCTAAGGCAGCAAAATAGAAGGCTAGAAAATGTGAAGTGGCTGTGAGGGCCGGTAGTTTTCTAGTTTGCCAGGGACAGCAAAATGTTTAATGCTGGCATAGCTCTCAGAATATCTCTAGCCAAGGCACTCAGAGATGGAATTTTTTGAATATTACCTATTCTTCAGGCCTCACTTGACTTATCTAGAGAATAAATATACCTAGCTTTTAAAAAATGTGTGTTGTGCCTTCATTATATTTGAGTGATAGGAGAGAGCGGTAATGTCCTTCTCTAGGGAAAGGAGCAGTGTGTGTGTTCGGCCTTAAAGATGGTAAGCTACTGAATGCCTGGGTGAGGTAAAACCCAGAGGACTCTGAAAGTCTGAGTCAGAGGGGAAGATGAGTCTTCAAAAGAGCTGCAGTGAAATCTGATGAATAGCATGATTTAGTCACGGCCATGGAAACAAAACCAGATATCGAAAGCAATTATAAAATGATCCCTGTTAAATTCAGTGGCTCATAACTGTGAGTTTCTAATTAGTCTTTGTATCAAAAT